TCTTCTCCAATACCTTTTAAAAGATAGGATCGAGTTCCATGTGAGAATTTAAAACCTAAATTTTGATTCAATATATGTAGGCACATTTTATCTATGGTAATAAATGTTGACTTTTTATATGGGAGCATCATAATTTATGTTAACCAAGTCCCTTTTGATGGACATTTCAGTTGCAATTTTCACTACATAATTAACTTTTAATATGTATGCTTAAGAAAATTTTTGTGTCTGTCAGCATCCAAGGGTTTCACCTGATTCCTTGATATTCAGTAAACAACAGCTCTTCTCACTTAGTAATCAAAAAATAATATTTTCTTTGCAAGCATAGAGTCAAGCAATTCAAACAATACTCCCGTAGATGCAAAACTGACATATGAATGTCTAAATCAACCAAATAAAATTCAGGATTGTTTCTTAACTTCATCAAACAAATTAAATAGCAAGTTTTACTTAATTATCAGCTCCCTGGAGGCTTGGGGGTGGGGGTGGGGGGAAATTTCTGTAAAATATCTAATGCTTCATGTTTTTATTGAGTGTGTGTTGGGGGGGATTGTTACTTGGGATGGGTTCCAAGGCCTAGTGCACATGGGCTCTACCCCTGAGCTACTCTTCCAGCCCTGCTGATACTTCTTTTTAAGACCAGCTGCTTGTGGGGGCAGGGTTGCTGCTGGAGTTTACTGCTGGCTCTCAGATGCTACCATGTGACCACATCAGGCAGGTAAGGGTGTGGGCCAAAAGCAGAATTCCAGGTGCCCAGGAATCAGAAGTGGACAGGATGGAAGGATGCTTCTTGTCAGAAGCCCCCACATGCCAGACCTGGAAAAAGAGAACCTCAGTAAATTACTCTCCAACAAAATAAGTTTTCTTTTTTCAGTGCTGAGGCTTGAACCCAGGGCCTTGCTTATGCCAGGCAAGTGTTCCACCCTGAGCTACTTTCTAACCCCAACAGAACCAGAACAGGAGCCAATACTGGCCCATCTGCTAGATCGGCCTCTGTCCCAAGCCACCAAACACACACAGACCTAGTCCACCCTCAAACCTGACACTCTCCTTAGTGACAATCCTGTGATTCCCAACATGGTTATTTTCTGTTTATTTTCAGCTGTAGCAACCTGTGCTCTTAAATGGCTTCTTTATCTAGTGGGGTATTTACAGTCTGTGACCAACAGCTGGGGTTCATAAACATGAGTTTTACCATTTGGGTCAGTAGTTTTCTGTCTTTTCTGAATGGCGACTCCCCCAGCTGATCTCAGCATTCAGAGAAGCACCCCTCCTTCAGCACCAGTCTGGTTCTCCACGGTGTTATTTACCATTGGAGGGTTCTGTTTTCCCATTAGAACAAAGGTCACGTTTTTATTAAAATTTCAAGTCCAATACCAAAACATATTTATGGGTGTTGGTGTTACTAGTGATTTTAAGTTTCCCATTAGCTTTTTCCAGTGTTCCAAATGGTCTAAAATGGGCATGCATTTCTTGTGTTTAGGAAAAAAAATGCCTTTTCAAAAAGGAATTCAGAACTATAAAATATAGAAGAAGAAAACATAGGAGACAAACTGTTGAGTCTAAGCTTGAGAAAGAGTTGTTAGACAACATCAAAAGCACAAAGCAAGGTTGGGGATTTAGCTCAGTGGTAGAGCATAAACACGAGGCCCTGGATTCAATCCCCAGCATGTGTGGGCACACACATGTACACACACAAATCAAAAAAAAAAACCAAAAAAACCCCACAATCCATAAAAAAAAATCTCTAAATTAGACTTCATCAAGGTTTTCGTTATTGTTGTTTTTAAAGCATTTTTGCTCTGGGAAGACATTGTTAAGAGAATGATGGAACGAGTTGTAAAAGGAAAGACTATTTCTACAAACCACACACTCTGACAGTGGACTTTTCTTTACAATATATAAAAAACTCCAAATTCAATGGTGAAAACAAAGTAGAAATGGGCAAACAGGTGAAACAGGCATTCAACATCATTACCATTACAGAAATGCAAATTAAAACCACCAGGAGATAAGGCTACACACCCATTAGGACAGATAAGGACGCAGAGAAACTGGATCACTTCTGCATTGCTGGCAGAGTGTAAAATGGTACAGCCAGTCTAGAAGCTCCTTGGCAGTCTCTTAAGTAACAAAACACACATATACTTAGGATTTCACTCAGCAATCGTATTTCTGGGCATTTATCCCAAAGGAATGAAAGCTTACATCTCCACCAATACCTGCTGTTTCTAACAGTTTTATTTGTAAGGGTCCAAATCCAGCAATAGACAGAAAAATATTCTCCAATAGGTAAATAGATGAACTGGGGTACATCCATGCCATAGCATACGCCTCAGGAATAAAAAATGAGCAATCTATTGACAGCTGCAAAAACCTGGGTGGACCTCCTGGGCATCATGCTGAGTGGGAAAAAAAAAAAAGCTGATCTCAAAAGGGGAAGTACTGGGGCTGGGGTTGTGGCTCAGTGGCAGAGCGCTTGCCTTGCACGTGTGAGGCACTGGGTTCGATCCTCAGCACCACATAAAAATGGATAAACAAAAAAGATATTGCATCCATCTATAACTAAAAAATATTTTTTAAAAAAGGGGGGAGTACTGGGGACTGAATTAGAGCAGATTATATTCCAGGCTTTTATAATTATTACCTAATATCATGTACACCTAGAAAGAGAATCAATAAAAAATATTAACTTTTAAAATGGCATAATAATTAGCTACCTAATGCATTGTTACTGTGTAATGCTTTATTAAATGTACAAAATATTTTACTTTTTTTTAAAAAAAGGGCACATACTCTATTTATATAAGATTCTTTTTTTGCTTTAATTAAGTATATTTTATTAATAAAAATGGGAATAAACTATTTTCAAACACGCATTGATTGGGATTCAAAACAATTTCTATATTTTATATTGGAAAGTAAAATTTTCATTTGAGGCACTAATTCCTTTGCTCTATGAAAATACTACTCCCTCAGTTATCAAATAGGTGTCCCTAGATTTTATTTTATTTTTTTAATTTTTATTTTTTTTAGTCATACATGACAGTAGAATGCATTTTGACATATAATACATACATGGAATGTACATACATCAATCATATTGTCTATTCTATTCTGCTAAGAGCCATAGCCAAGTAGTAATGATGCATGGCATTTTTGGTTGAAAGGTGACGCCAGCAAGCCATTGAGATGGTATGATTATGTTAAGATCTTCATTCAAATGGATATTAGACCCCTGCTGTCCACCTCTGCCTGCTACGGGACTCCTGGAGAGTTCCCATTGGTTGGGGAAGTGCGGTAGGAGGGAATTCTGGAGGAGGGATTTCCTGTTGGAGTAGTGTGGCCCCGGAGAACGCCGCGTGTGTGGGCCGGCATATTTTCCCGGGAGCATACAGGGCATTGGCGGGAGTTTCAAAAATAAAAGTTTGTTCCTGTTTGAGTGGCTCGTGATTTTGTGCCCAGCCAGACTGTGGCACTATTCTGCTGCCCTTCCTATCCTCCCTCCTACTCCCCTCCTCTCCCATCTATATAAGATTCTTGAAATGGCAAAATTTCAAGATAGAGATCAGATGAGCAGTTGCCAAGGGTTGGGACTGGAGGAGGGGAGGGGTACAGGACAAGAACTTTGTGGTGGTAAAATAGTTTCCTTTTTTCCCCTGTAGTGCTGGGGATAGGGCCCAGGCCTCATGCTGTTTAGACACACGCTGTACCACTAACTATACCCCCTGCCCCCAATTTGATGCCTCTGTTGCAGTGATAGCTACACAAACACCTGTGACAGATGGCAGAGAACTATACATAGGCACTGCACAATGCACTCCCAGCTTCCACATGTACCAGAGTTGTGTAAGATTGTAACCACTGTGGGGAAACTGAGGGTACACAGAGCCTCTATACTAGCTTTGCAACTTCCTGTGGTGCCGGGTTTCTGTTCTCACGACTAAAAGGCTCAGGGGTCACTCTAGTTAAACTGGGCTAACTGGGCGGCACGAAATAACCACACAAGAGACACAAATACCTTTTTCTTTGGGGTTGCTGTGAAGGCTCCTCTGACCTTAAGGGTCTGCAGAAAGAGAGAGAGAGAGAGAGAGAGAGAGAGAGAGAGAACACACACACACACACACACACACACACACGTGCGCGTGCTAACCCCTTTTATTGAGGAGAAGCTATTCACATGAGGCAAGGGGTCAGGTTTCAGGGGGCTGAGTCTATCTTCATGATGTCCACTGTCAGCAGGTTGACTGACACTTGGGTAGGCCACACCCAAGGGCACAGTAAGAGGAGGGGACACACACAAGGCACTTCCATGGAAGATTCTATCCTAAACAGGGCAAGGGGTTATATTACAAAGGGACAGGTGAGCATAGCTTCACCCATGGGGCTGTAGCAAGACACACCCATTTCTGTGACTGAGCACCTCAGCACCCAGCTGGGGAGTGTAACTCAGTCACCGGTAAGGTTGGCCTCCCACACTGTGGATGTACAATTATTTCAAAATAAGCTTTTTTAAAAAAGCAATTCATACTTATGTAGAAAATTTTAGAATATGCAAAATAAAAAGGTTGCTAGTTTTAAATTAATGGCCTTTTGATATTTGCTTTAGAATGTTGAAATGTATTGCTTACATTTTTCAAGCATAGAAGAAAATTCAAATAATTTTGATATACTCACAACAGCATGCAGCCAATCTCACTATATCCCCAGATCATCTTCATCATCCCATTACCAGTCACTCTCCATTGTTCACTCCTTTTGGCCCCTGCTAACCACTGATCTGCCTCTTCTGGACACTTAATAGAATCATACAGTATATGGCCATATGTTGTGTCTGCTTCTTTCACTTAGCATATTGTTTTTGAAGCTCATCCATGTGGTAGCATATTATCAGTACACCATTCCTTTTGATAGCTGAATAGTACTCCATGTATGGATATGCTATGGATATGCTTAATTGTGATTTTAATAAAAATTTTTCTTCATCGTCTTCCTGTAAGGTCTCTTTTATATCTGCTTAGGTTAGTGAACTGTCTTCGGTTGAGGCTGGTGACCTGTGACCTCTCTCACCTTCCACACCAAGGCTGACATATGTGGGCACATGGAATCCTTCATCTTCAGTTCTCCCTCTCTCCTAATGAAGGGAAGATGCTTCATCAGGTGGGTCATTAATGGGGATGCACAGGATATGTATCCAGGCTGCTCTCTCAGAGATGATAAGCCAGGCAGGACACATGATTCTGGGGGTGGGAGGAGGGGAGACTAGCCCCAAGTGTACTGAGCCATGGTGCAACCTCTGTGGCCCCCTCCTATTGACAGGCTTGACCTGCCTCTACAACAATAAGCACTAAATACCTTTCCCAAAGCAACATTTTCCTAACCTCTTTTGCAAAACTGAACACTTTCCCTCAACTCCACATTGCAATCCTGACTCCAGGGATGCCCCACAGTATCACGGACATCAGGAGCTCACCCATGGCCAACCATCCTTCCAGTCTCTCCCCAGTACCAGAGCTGGGCCAAGAGGCAACCTGCTGGCCTCTCGCTGGTAGTAAAAGCCACTTACTGAGTCCTTAGCATATGCCAGATAACACACGGAGGCCTTTGTACTTGTCATCCCACCTAAATCTCACAGCAACCCTACCAGGGCATGCTTTTATCATTCTCACAAATGAAAATGGATTTAGAAGCAGAGGCTCAGGGAGTTTTAGAGTCCAGTCCAAGATCAGACAGGGCCAAGATTCAACTAAGGCCTATTCAACCGTCAAGTCCTCTCAGAGCATGGACTCTGGAGCCAGACTTCCTGGGATCAAATCCTGATTCCTTCCTTGTTAGCCGTTTAATTTTGCCTTTGGTTTTACCCATCTGTAAAATGGGCCAATAATCAAAATCTGCCTCATAAGACTGTTGTAAGGATCGAGTAGATGAATCTGTGCCTGGCACAGAGTAAAGGCCCTGACAGTGTTTGCTATTGTTGTAGTTGTTATTACTATACTGCCTCTCAAAAATGGAATAGAGAGGGCTGGGGTTGTGGCTCAGTGGTAGAGCACTCGCCTAGCATGTGTGAGGCACTGGGTTCCATCCTCAGCACCACATAAAAATAAATAAATAAAATAAATTCATTGTGTCCATCTACAACTAAAGATAAATATTAAAAAAAAAAAATGGAATAGAGAAGCAGGAAAAAAGCAAATAACCAGACAGCCACCATTTCCCTTTGCCTCAAGAGAGTTGTCCTGGCCAAGAAACAAGCCTGCTATCTCCAGGCCACTGCTGGAATTGATGCTTTCTTAATATCAGTAAATGGGTCATTGTGGTGATCTGAATTTGCTCCCCTAAAATTCATACATTGAAATCCTACCTCCCAGTGTGATAGTATTAGGAGGTGGGGCCTTTGGGAGTGATTAGTTCATGAGGGTGGAGCCCTCATGAATGGCACTAGGGCCCTTATAAAATACCCCAGAGAGCTCTCTCCAGAGGGCTCCTCCTTTTGCCATGTGAGGATACAACAAGAATTCAGCAGACTGCAACCCAAAAGAGGGCCATCGCCAGAACCCAACAACACTGGCACCCTGATCTCTAGCCTCAAAAACTGTGCAAATAGGGGCTGGGGTTGTGGCTCAGTGGTAGAGCACTCGCTTGACACGTGTGAGGCCCTGGGTTCGATCCTCAGCACCACATAAAAATAAATAAAATAAAGGTATTGTGTCCAACTACAACTAAAAACTAAACATTTAAGAAAAACTGTGCAAATAAATGTCTCTTCTTTATAAGACACACATAAGTCTATGGGGTTTTGTTAGGGAAGCCCAAATAAACTAAGACAGCCATAATCAACAAGCAAATGATGGCTTTCATCAGGATATAAGTCCATGCAGTTAAAGACTCTGTCAATAGCACTGTGAAGGGCTTCTCTTCCATAGGCCCTGAAGTTGCCTTTTGAGATGGAGCTCAGGGAAGATTGGCCAAGCTTAGCTGCTCTTGGTGGGCCTCACAGTGCTCAGGAAACAAAGGACTTATTGAAGAGAGCAGTAAGAATGGTATTGCTGATAAGACCACAAACCTAGGCTTATAGCTGAGTCCCTGATAGAAATCCTGGGTTCTCGAGGCCTTCAGGAAGGGCAAAGTTTACAGCTGATCTAGTTTAAGAAGGAGGGGCTCTTACCAGAATCCCCAAGGACAAGGGATGCCTGATTTAGTGGCAAAAATGTCCACACCTAGCTAGGACTGATGTCCAAGTGATATGCTTCTAGAGTCCTTGCGAATTTTTAAAAAATCTATGTGAACAGTCATATGTCTTTAGGATTATGGAGTCTTGATTTGGTTTTATCAACATACTTTATTGCATACACTAACTAGTAAGGGGCGCTCTTCTCCACACCATAGTCATCTACTTAAACTCTTTAGTTTGCAATGGAGAAAATGAAGCTCAAAGCCACGCAGCAAAATCATATTAAAGACCTGCAGCCCACACTCCCTGACTCCAGGCTAGTTCCCTACCATCTGAGACAGAAGATGATGTTTGAAAAGTCTTCCCAAACAAATCACTCCTCTCTATCGCTGGGACAGCAGGTCTCCTTCCTGCAGATAATTCTATCTGTAGATTAATTCAGAACTCTCTGGAGCATGTGTTCTCAGGAGCTGGAGCCCTGCTGGGATGGGGAGAGAGAATTCAGGATGGGTTTTGGGTCTGGACTTGATAAAAAAAAAAAAAGCTCAAACTATCCTGCTGATTCAGAATGATCAGGGAATGGTCTCTCTGAACTATCTAGTGCTTCTGCTCATGTTTGGAACTATGTAATTATTCATGCTTGGAACATTTAAACAGTATACCAGAAAAATACTCAATTTTAATTTGATCTTTCTTCCCACAGTGCCTCAGTGTCACGATGAGTCTGAATTACCACTCTGGAGGACTCAAACGATGGAGAACAAGGGTTAGCCATCTTCCCCTTGGCACTATCTGAGCCCTTGGTTGACTGGATAGAAGTCACCCTGTTGATAGGACACCACAGGGCCTATGAGTTATGCCCTGAATTCTTTCAGCAAGGCCAAAGACATGCTATGGCCACTTGGTTCTTGTCACTTCATTTAAGAGCATGAATGCTGAGGACCAGAGGCAGAAGCCAACCAACTGATTCAACTGGCAGCCAAACACAAAGTCACTTGTTTCTTGGTTCAAGAAAATTATTTTTAAAAAATTCAACATCCAGTTATAGCTTAAATTATTATCTTTTTTGAATAGACAATGAAATAAAACACACTGCAGAGTACTTAGAAAAACATGCTGAGAAAAGCAAAAGACAGAGGCTTTGGTGAAAAACTTTTGAACTTACTACTTTAAACCAAAGTTTAGTGTTTTTAAATTTCTCACTTACTTTTAAAGATACAAATTAAGATTTTTCTGCATTCAGGTTGGTTCTGCTAGTCCCTGTTCCACAGTCTTACTCCTCTTATCCTCTTAAGAGTAGTATTTTGCATTTTGTTTCAAGTACTTATTAACACCTTTTTCTTTGTCAGGAATTATGCCAGGTATAGAGGTGACTGTAGAATAAGAAACAGCTTGCCTCTGGGGACAGACACTGAGACTAAACTCTCAAACATGTTCTCATCCTCTCTGTTAAATTCCTTCTTATGATATCACCAGTCTGAGCTTTATAGATGATCTTCTTACACGTCATATGGTCTCTGCACATTCAACAATGAGCCTTACTTAGCTTTTTTTAAGATATGCTAAACTCTAAAAACTCCTGCTGGGCTTGTTTTCTTTATCTGGTTCTTTTTCTTGGGTTCTTTCCTGGGTGCTACGTATCAGTCTGGCATCGTGAAGAGCTAAAGTAAGAAGGATTAGCTCACCTCCGATTCCCCTTGCTGCACTCTGTGGTCAGGGTTTTGTTGGGTACCATTTCCTCTAAATTTATTCTAGTCCATTTACCCCTAGATTGTTTTTTCCCACATTAATAAATCATCATTATTATCCACTGAGGCATTATTTTTAATAATTAAATAACAGAAACGTAATCTGTATCTACATCTGTAAGGAGTTAGTTAAATAAATTATAAAATCCTCTCCAGCCTTTAAGAAGGATGAGATCCGAATGAGCACATATCTATCGCACATTGTCAAATTAAACCAACAAACATGTTGCAGAACAACATATATTGTATGATCTCATTTAAAAAATGCACATGTGAATCTGTATAACATATGTATCTGAATATATGTATTTATATATGTATATACACATACATAAGAAGTATATTTTATCTGAGTGGAAAAAGTCTTAGGAGAAACTAACAATGGGAAATCTATCAAGTAAGTTGGGGAAGGGGCACATAAAAGGAAAGTCACTCTAACTCTATGTTATTGACTGTTTTGACCTAATAGATACTCCTTTTTAAATGAAGGAATAAGTAGACAGAAGAGATATATATTTATTTTCCTAGACATTTCAAGACTATTAAGTCTAGAATTCCACAGATATTGACTTTTCATTAGTTTTTTTAAATATTTATTTTTTAGTTGTAGTTGAACACAATACCTTTATTTTATTTATTTGTTTTTATGTGGTACTGGGGATTGAACCCAGGGCCTCACACATGCTAGGCGAGTACTCTACCGCTAAGCCACAACCCCAGCCTAGACTTTTTATTAGTTTTGTTGATAAACTTATTAACAAAGTTTGGGTTTAAAGGCATCTACCACCATGAGGCCCAGTGGTCCCCTCCTGTAATCCCAGCAACTCAGAAGGCTGAGGTAGGAGCATCACAAGTTTGAGAGCAACCTCAGCAACTTAGTGAGAACCTGTCTCAAAATAATAAAAAATAAAAAGGGCTGGGGATGTAACTAGTGGTAGAACACCCCTGGGTTCAATCCCCAGTACCAAAAATAAATAAATAACCAACAAACAAAAAGCATCTCTTGCCTCTGATAGGGTGTTAGCACCATATTCTTGGCCTCTGCAAAGTGTGTTTCCTGCAATCTCATTATACATGTTTCTGGAAATCTTGGCCACATGAAGGACGTGGCCCTGGAAAGTTTATTTACTAACAAATAAATAAATACTTAAAGGAAGCCAGAGAGGTATCATTTTAATCTCACAGGCTGGGAAACTGAGGCACCAAAGGTTGATCAGGCATGTCAAGGTCACCTAGCAAGTTAAATGTGATGAGGTATGGATAGATAAGGTTTTGAGTATCAAAATCTGGTGTCCCAGGTTCAAGCTCTTACCATGTTACTTTGTTTTTTTTTTTAAGTAATCTTTTTAAAATTTCCTGAGCCCCAGTTTCCCTTTCAGTACAATAAGTATTATAATATCTGTCTCTTAGAACAGTGCTATTACATGAGAGTACGTAATTTTATGCATATCATAAAACACTAAATATTCGATAGAAGGACCAACAACCAGGAAACTAAGAATTAATATTTATTATGTGGCGGCTGGTTCTACAACAAGATTTATGCTTGTTTAATTTTCTTATGCTCCAAACAAAAAATTTAAAATGTCTTTCCAGTCTTTTAGAAGCTGTCCCTTCAATATGAATGTTCCTGTTCTTCACGATCAACCTTAATTTTGTTTTTCTATATCCTAAATATTTCTGCAAATGGGTTTAAAATGAGGCACAAAAGTATCAGTTCCGTGGAGAAGACAACTAGGCTTTACCAGAATGCCATGCCAAATTGACTAGTACTCTGAAAGCAGATGAAAGTTGTTTGAAATGCTTCAAAGAGGAAGAAAAATCTAATCCCCCAAGGCTTCCTTTAAATCCATATTCCTTAATTTCAGAAAAAGTCCCAAGTCTTTGAAAAGTCCCAAATATCGTTTTACAGTTTGGAAGTCGTAATGGAGAACATTTAAAAAAAAAATTTTTTTTTTTACAACATTCTTCCTTTCTTAAAGAGCTCAGTAAATCTGAGTTTCCTTCACAAAGGCCCAAGTGGACGATGACCCTCCTGTCTTGGGAGCTGGGGGCACACGGACATCCCCAGGGCTCTGAGCCTAGAGTTCAAGGCTAATGACTACCTGGAGAATTCCTTAAAGAAGCAGAGTCAGGCATTTTCCCTGTTATTTCTGGGCGAGATTTGCATGTCTGTCATTGTGTGGAAGAACGCCCAGTCCCTCCACTATGCAACACGGAAGAAAGAAAGTTTCCAAGTGAGAAGCAAAACAAGGCCAGTTGCAATAGAAGCAAATGAGACCAATTTCCCGCTTCAGAAAACAATTCTTGTGAAGCTGCTTTCATCTGCTCAAAGAAGCAAACTCTTCCCCCACTCTTCTCCTGCTACCTATGGACATGCTTAGATAACTAACTGCCCTGAGGATCACAATGAATATTTATGGAGACTGTTACAATGTGCCCAGCACTGTGCTGGAAAAGTCTATTTGAAGTGTCCCTTTAAATCTTCCCAATTGCCTGGAGGCACATACTGTTTATTATTAGCCCTATTTTACATATGAGAAGGTTGAGTTGGAGACTGGCTCATTGAGCTGCCTGCTGTCCTAGCTGGATTCAAACCCAGATCTTTCTGACTGAAATCTGTGCTTAACCAGAACGATGCAGAATTGAAATGCAATCCAAGGCAGTGAAGGGAGAGAGCCTATGTCAAACTTGTAGGTTGGACCTCAGTTGTGGAATTGCATTATAATTAACTCCTGTGTCCCAGCTAAATGGTTTACATGCATGGTCTCATTTAATGTTTCCCAGCATATTTAAATGGTAAACGCTATCCTGACCCTGGAAATACTTTGTCTCCTCTATCAGATGCTTCTTTTTCCCCCCTTCCTCCTCCCTCTGCAGCTTGGAGGCAATGAGTGCATTCAGCCTGGCCTAGGATACAAAGTGAGTAGTCAAGGAAGATCTGAGTAGTGTCTTTTAGGTGTCTTCTGTATTGGTGTGAGAAGTTACAAGTGTCCCTCTCTGCTCTCCATCTTCACGACATCTCCCTGTGCACACAGTGCCAGAACAGTGACCTCAGACCACAGCTCCAATGCTGATTACAAGTAATCCCGCTCCAGAGTGTCCTTTCTTTCAAAAAAGGAGATAAAAATAGCAAAGAAACAACACTTTCCTTAGTTCTCTGAAAGGTTGGCATCCTTCCAGGATAGACTTATGTACTTTTTGTACTTGGAGGAAAAAAAAGAGATGGGATTTGGTCCAAGAATAGTCCTACAAACCAGAGAAATATAGAGCAGGCAGCTGGAGTAGAGCAGCCAAGTGGTACCACCAGCTACAGGCCCATTAATTAACGTTCCCTGGTATGTAGCGGTTCCCGTGACCTCGATTCTTGTTGAATTCACAGAGATAATTTTTACAGAGCCTCTACTTTTCTCACTGCAGTATATTTATCCAAGGAGTACCTCGCATATTTCCCCTCATCTCTCCAAGCAGTAAATTTATTCTAATTGCAAAGAGATATAGTAAAAGCCTGATTGAACACTTGGCAGTTTATACAGATTTATTCCAGGGGCTTAAGGGGGTTTTTAGAGTGTGTGACTAGAGTAGGGTTGAGGGGAGCTGGGGAAAGGAGCCCAAGAGAAAATGTAGATTTAATGGATCTATAAAATGACCCTGCCATAGATAAATGCTTGTTCCAAAGAAGTTTAAACAGCCTGACCCAAACGAGAGTCTGTGACAGCTAGTCGGACACGAGGTGTCTGTAGCATTGCATATTTCTCTTTGGATTTTCAGGTTTCCATATGAAATTTGTTATTCCCCAGGCAGCGGGAGGGTGTGGAATCTGTTTTCCAGAGGGAGGGAAGCATATTTAACTGCACATTTCCAAGCACTAAAAGCTATGAACAGAGGCAAAAAGTAAACTTCCAGCACCTGCCCTGAAAATCACTGCTGTCTCTCTAACTCCCCAAGGGCTAAAGGCGGAATTTCAAGCCTAGGATCCTGGAAGACAGGTCACAAGAACCTGCCCTTGGTCCTGGAGAATTCTGAACAAGAATGGGGAGTCTTCTGAAGCCCAGGTATCCCAGGCACTTCCAGTGGATAATGAGACAGATTCTAACCCCCGATGGGGCTTCCGCTCAGAACAGGCTATGCGTGCGCATGCTACTGAACTTTTCCCCGAAAACCTTCTAGGCTTTTGATCCCAGGAGTGACATTCATCATTTTTGCAGCTGCTTTGCAAGTTCTGCTGAGGATGAATTTTAGGACTTTCAACTGTTAAATTGGTTATATTGTAAATCTAATCAGGCACTAAAATTGGAGACATTTGTTCGGAGAAAGAGGCAAAATAGAAAAGTGTCCCTAAGCAGATGCTGGTAGAGAGGAAGGCCAGAGGGTGAACGCACTGGTCTCTTTGGTTAGAGGCTAATAGGGGATCATGTCAGCAGTTTGTGGATTCCCTCTCTTTTGTTTTTTTTCAGGAATTGGCAGGAGACCTTGGGTGAAAATGTTAAACTTTTTTTTTTAAGTTGTATATGGACTCAATGCCTTTATTTGTTTTTATGTAGTGCTAGGATCGAACCCTATGCCTCATACTTGCGAGGCAAGTGCTGTTCCACTGAGCTACAACTCCAGCCCAAAATGTTAAACTTTTTGATTATGAAATAAAGCACTCATACAGAAAAACAATGCAGTTTAACAGATTGTGATAAAGTTAACAACCATGTCAGGAAGTATAATGTTGGAACCTGGCATGGTGGCTCATCCCTGTAATCCCAGCTACTTGAGAGGTTGAGACAGGAGGATCGCAAGTTCAAGGCCAACCTGGGCAATTTAGTGAGATTCTGTCTCAAAATAAAGATAGAATGGGGTGGGGTGGGGTGCATAGCTGGTAGAGAACTTGCCTAGCAAGTGTGAGTTCCTGGGTTCAATCCCCAGTACCCACCTCATATGTCCATAAGGTATAATGTGCAGAACCATTATCTGAACTGTTAAAGATATCAATTCCTTGCTTAAAAAAATTATTTAGCTCCTAACCTGAGAGCTCCAAACCCTGTTTAAGAAGGGTTAATATTACCTGTTTTTGAACTTTTTATAAATGGCACTAATGCATTTTTCTTTTGTGTATGGCTTCTCTTGCTCCACTTGGTGAGAATTATACACCTTATCTGTAACCACAACTCACATTCATTTCTGTATGATATTTTTTATTTGCCCATGTACTGCTGATGGACACTCAGGTAATTTTCAGAATGGGGATGTTACTAATAAAGCTGGGAGAAGCATTCTTTTGCACACATGTGAATGTATATGGGATTTTGCTCTGCCTGCCTGGTTGAGGTCACACAATCCTATTTAAGCCCAATTTGAATCAGGGCAAGTCCTAAATTTAAGGGAAAAATCAGCAATTTTTTTTCACTTGTTCACTCATTCAATAATAAATACAAATCAAACTTCAGATATGATGAGTCAATTGTTAAAAAAAAAAAAAACTCTTTCCACTGGTTGGATCTGTTTTCTGGCAGAGTCCTGACTCATACAGGTAACATGCTATTTTCATAGGCTTGCTTGGTAGCACAGGAACAAAAATTTTCTCAAGCTAATTTAAGTAAAGGGGAAAGTTTGTGTTTTAAAATTTTTTTTAGTTGTTGATGGACCTTTATTTTAATTATTTATGTGTGCCACTGAGAATCAAACCCAGTGCCTTACACATGCTACACAAGAGCTCTATTTAAATAAAGGGGAAACTTTTTAAGGAAATATTTCCAGTCTTCAATATTAACTTCCTTGATACCAAGTCATTATAGCACTATCTGTATTTCAGATACTTTTCCAAATTAAAAGTACTCTGGGTGGGTGCACAGTTTCTTCTTCTTCAGGGATTGGAGCTCTCAGGCAAAGAAAGCTTGCTGAGGTTTGGATATGGTTGACTCCCAAGATTTATGTGTGGGAGACTTGGTCCTCAGTGTGGCAGTATCATGGTGGTGTGCCTTTAAGGGGTGGGTCCTAATGGGAGGTCCTTAGGTCATTTGGAGGTTGTGCCTTCAGAAGTGATTGTGGAACTCCAACTTTTCTAGCTTCGTATTTTGGACCAAGTGTGCTGCTGCCATCCACCATGAGGTCATCAATAGAGCCCAGCTGATGCTGGCATCATGACCTTGATTCTCCAGAACTGTGAGCTAAATAAACCTCTTTACTTTATAAAGTCAGCCTGGCTTGGGTGTTTTCTTATGGTTATGCAGAATGGACTCACAAAAAACTAAAGCAAAGAAGCCATACTGACTGTTCTCATCCAGTGAGCACTTGTATACAGTACTGAGGCTGCTCCCAACCAATGAGCTGAACTCTACTACGCTGCCTAGTTGAATGTGTCCTGAGATGCACTTGTTTATTCTTCTCTTTCCTCCTTTTCTGTTATCAATTTGTGTTCTGGCAAGCAGTTTTAACCTAGACTAACTGACTAAAAGGGTGTGAGTGATAATAACAAAACTATTGCAAAGAAATAAAAGGAAGAGTGTCATGTTGGACATTAGAATAGAGGCCTTCCAGAGGTTCTAGGTCCTCCAAGGCACTGGATGAAGAAGCAGAGGGTCAAGTTCCAAAGACAAATAGGGAGAGGAGCAAGTCTTTTGATATTTTGTAAGCTTCATACAGCTCAGAGTAATTTAGAAGGATTGACCAACAACTGTATGGATAGGATCTGGAAGAAATTATGGATAGAGCATGGACAAGCCATTGCAGTGTACAAATCCTGGGTCATCCTCTATGGCGACTGTGCCAGATAGGTGCCTTCAGGTTGCTGCTAAATAGAGTGATGTGATGTCCAGGCCTCTGCTCTGTCTCTGTGTCCGTGGTTTATCTTCCTTTTGATTCTCCACTGCATTTTCTTCTCTGCAGATCAGCCTCCTTTGCAAGGTCCTTGGCTTGTCCCCGATAACTTGGGTTTTCTTTTGGCATTGGGTTACTGCATCAGGCCTTGTCAATGTCCTGCTCAGATTCTCTGGCTCAACTTGGAATTCACCTGTAACAGTGTTAGACATTTTCCCCCAGGCTGGCAACTCCCCACCCAAGGCATACACATCTCTGCTTCTCTGCCAGTTTCTCCTGCGCTATGAGAGCTTGCTGGGCCACAGGCAGGTGTAGCCACAACTAGTGCAGGCTCGGAGTCATTGTGTGAATGCCCCAGTCTTCCTGGTTCCCAGTGGGACCATTCTGAGGTGTATCTCACATGGTTCCTCCAAGACTCTCAAGAGGGATACAGCAACAATTTCCCTGCTCATAATGCACCTTTTGTTCACTTTTCTCCTTTCTCTCCCTCATTTTCCCCATCCTCATGGTTCCTAGGACCACCTCCCAAATAAAATTTCTGCAACCACATCCTATTTCAAGGTCATCTTCTTTATGTGACCTTCCAGTGGTCATACTTTCTGATTCTTAGTTAGTCCCTAGGACTCTCAGTTCAAAATTTTTTTGGGAATTTGACTTATCCAAATGAAGGTCATATATGCATCTTTGGTTCACTTAGCTCTTCCCTGGGTGGTGGACTTAATGATAGGTAGAACATGACAGACATTTCCAGCAAACTGATTCCTCTGCCAGGTGTTATGCTGGGCAAAGGGGCACACAGAGGACAAACACATTTCTTGTTCTTAAGGAGCTCTAGCTGGGAAATAGACTTGTAAATAATATGCATGTTACAAAACAACTATTTCATTTTGTACACATGTATAAAAAACAATGTAACCATTGGTTGGGGTATTGAAGGGTGGAGAGATGCTCACCTGGGGAAAGGGTATAGAGAAGACCTTCTAGGCAGAGGAAACGATGGGAAAAAGTATGGAGAGATGAAAGAACTCCTGCCACTTTGTGGCAGCCAAGTTGTGTCTTAGCTCAGCATCTTTCTCTTGGGTTTGGTTTTCTTCCAAGGAGGGACAGTGAGGCATTACAACAGAATCTCAGCTCTTCCAGGTGCAAGCTTCCTATTATTTTCCCACTGATGAGAAAGGTGGCCACGTGTTTCTTGAAGTCAGGGAAAATATTATTTTACAGCCAAGATATAAAAGGTTCAAAGGAAGCTGGAAAATGGAAGATGGGAGCACAGAGCCAGTGATAAGAGGTCAGTTTTATACCGCACATAGCTCCTGAAGTCATCTGGAGAATATTTATAATCAGGAAAGATCAGCACTTTGGATGAATTCCTGTGATTCTTCTGTTTCTGAAAAGCCAGATTCCCTCTGTCTTCTGAAGACCTGCAAAAACTCATCCTCAGTAGGAAGAGAACTGAGAGTAGGGTTAATAGCCACAACATTTAACCACTGTACTTGAAGATGCCTGGCCAATCAGAAATGACACAGCCTGGAGACACTGAGGATGGCCAGAGCATGTATGTAGGCTGAATCCCAAACCTGCCTTACATAATGCTGAATTCAGTCCCTTGTTCTGCAGAAGAAATTCCAAGTCTCCTATGTTGACCCTCTCCACCACCCCATGCCTCAAAGTTCACCTAAGGACTCTATTGGGCTCACCTCAGATGTTACTCATACCTAAGGTAATCCCTGGGGAGGGCATTTGATTCTTCAAGCATCTCTGGATTCTTGGCTGCCACAAATACAGAGAGCGCTCAAGGGGAACAAGCTCTTGTACCTCCACTCAGATTTACAGCTCTTATCCTGTTCATGAGCTAGTACTGGAAACACTTTATCCACTGGTAAATAAGTAATGTCTACTATTTATTGGTAACACTGAATTATAAAACATATTAAAGACAGACATATAATCTCAGCAGCTTGGGAGTCTGAGGCAGGAGGATGACAGGTTTGAAGCCAGCCTCCTCAACGTAGTGAGACTCTAAGCAACTGAGTGAGAATGTGTCTCAAAATAAAAAAATAAGGGGTGGGGATGTTGGTCAGTGGTTAGCACCCCCTGGGTTCAATCTCTGATACAACAAAACAAAACAAAATGTATGAGGGATGTAGGGAAATCGTTAGCTTAAAAAGATACATTATATTCCATAAATCAACATAAGTCTGGCTCCAAGTCCTCATTCCCACAGGCTTGTGAGAAAATTAACTAGCCACCTCCCTTTTATCCATCCCATGAGTTGATGTCCAGAGGCTTTATACAACATCAAGGCCCTGCCTTATCATTGTTTTTAATTTATTTAATAAATATTTATTGAATTTGCCACATGGAAGCCCCTGCTCCCAGAGATGATTACTAGTGATGTACAGGAAGAAGCAAATGCCTGCCCTCTGTTCCAGGTTGATCAATCCCTCAGGTGGGATTCAGTGGTGAGACTGAGATCAGGACTCCCTGGGTGCATGTACAGCCCTCCCTACTAAACACTGCCATCCAGGCACTGCCAGAAGCTGGGGAAGATCTCATCTAGAAGATTCTGCCCTCTTCCCCTGACAGGACATCTCTTCTCTTACTCATTATCTCTCAAAGGCATCCTCCCCAGAACTCCCTCTCCACAACACTCTTCATGGTACCTCAAGGTACAAAACTAAAAATAATAATAATAATAATAATAATAATAATAATATAAATTATAGTTTTAATTCTTATTACAACATACACATACTAGCATACTCAGAATAAAATGATTGTTAATTCAATTTATTTTCATTTTGGAAAAATATACATAACAAAAATTTACCATATGAAACTTTTCTTTTTTTCTCTTTTTTTCTTCTCTCTCTCTCTCTCCCCCTATTTCCCCCCATACTGGGGATTGAACGCAGAACCTCATGCATGCTAGGCAAGCACTCTACCACAGCCCTTTTATTTTTTATTTTGAGATAGGGTCTCACTAAATTATCCAGGCTGGTGTCTTGAACTTGTGATACTCTATTCCAGCCTTTTTTTTTTTCAAACATTTTTAGTTGTAAATGGACACTTTTATTTTATTTGTTTGTTTGTTTTTAATGTGGTACTGAGGATTGAACCCAGTGCCTCACACTTGCCAGACAACTGTTCTAACACTGAGCTACAACCCAGACCTCCTATTTCAGCCTTTTGAGTCACTGGGGATTACAGACATGGGCCTCTGTGGCCAGTCTCCATCTGGACCATTCATAAGCGTCCAGCAGCATTAAGCACCAAGGGGCAAAATTTACCAGGTTAGCCTACATTCAAATTTTTGCCCCATTTTCCAGGCAAAGTTTGGATGCCTATTTGAAATGAAGGGAAAGGGAACAAATGTAAAATTTTAGTCAACCAATCTGCCACCTGAACATCATAACTGTCAAGTCAAGTAACATGGCTAACATGTTGGTGCTGATCTTTTTATTCCAAATTACCACTACACATATTTAAAGACCTTGGTTGTGTATAAGTGTTCCATGGATGGGACTCAAGAGACCCTCAAAGGCCCCAGTGACTTTTGTCTGGTACCAGAACACTTTCTGACACTAGTCTGTTCCCTTTTCCTGATCTCTTGAATAACTGTTAACCCCCACCACACTCTAGCCTGCCCCGTGCTTGGGGTACCACCTCTATTAGTGAGTGAGGAAATTCCCTAAGCCCAAGCTAGGTGAAGCATTTTCCGATCATGCTGAAGAATTATTTTGGGGGATATCTATAACTGGGACACTGGAGATTAAAAGCCTCAAGGACATCAAAGGATCAATCTGCAATAACAGGGTTTCTTTCATTGTGGCAGGACAAGACTTTCAGAGTAGTTTTGTACTCCAATCTAAAAGAGCTATAGGGTCCCAAGTTGGCATATTCCCCCTGTCTCACAACAGAAACAGATACACATACCCACAGTAAATAAGCCATTAAGATCCACCAAAGTTTGAGTTCTAATCAAAGATTGCCAAGTTCATAGGAGGCAAGTCAGAGAGAGAGAGAGAGAGAGAGAGAGAGAGAGAGAGAGAGAACTAACATCCAGTTTGGACTCCAATAGAAGAGAGAAAGAACTAGCATCCAGTTTAGACTCCAGGGAGTTTGGATGTTGTAATTCTCAGATATAGAATTGTTTTATTTACAAAAAAGTATGAGCAATTATTATGTGCTAGGCACCATTGTGAAGATTTGTGCAATTTTAACTTATTTAATTCTCATAACAACTCTATGAAACAAGTACTACTGTTGTCCCATTTTATAACTGGAAGGACAGAGGCACAGAGAGATTAAGTAATTTGTCCCTCATCAAATGAGGGACAAATTACTTTTATCTCTTAAATGGCAGAGATAAAAATGTGAA